TTGTATATGTATTTCTACTGATCGTGTACCTCGTATTTTTCATTCTATCTATGCTGGTATGTGCAATCCCAAGGTTGAACACGAAATTTAACACTCCTCTAAAATTTGTGGTCCGCCAGGAAGTGTCTAACTGTGTTGTTGGCCTGACTGGATGTGCTTCACATAATGTTTTTTTCAGGTTTGTTGAATTCTCGTCTTTCATCTTTTTGTTGTATTTACCTCCGTGATTTGTTCTTGAAACCTGTTGAAGATCGCTTGCGTTGTGATCGAAACGTCGTGATTGTTTTTTGTTTTAACATAATTTTTCTTGTATTTCTACATACGTGACTTTACCAAAAAAAACAATGAGTGATTTTATGCAGTCACGAAAGCTTTAATACTTTATTATCACACTTCTACGGGGAAGTTACCATTGTAATTATGTGTAAGATGTGCCCTTTTTTGAGCTGCTGTTTTGTATTTACAAGAGGTGGTCATTTTTTGAGCTGCCGTTTTGTATTTCCAAGAGGTGGTCCTTTTTTGAGCTGCCGTTTTGTATGTGTAAAATGTGCGTGTTTGAGCTGCCGCTCTCGCTCTGGCCCCTCCCCCCCTCCAACTGTATTTCCTATTTAAGCTTCTGTTCATCCCTCCCACACCCCCCCCCCCTCTCTTTCTGCCTCCCTGTCCGTCTTTCCTCCCTCCTTACCTCTTGGTGGACTTGTATATGTATTTCTACTGACCGTGTACCTCTTATTTTTCATTCTATCTATGCTGGTATGTGCAATCCAAAGGTTGAACACGAAATTTAACACTCCTCTGAAATTCGTGGTCCACCAGAAAGTGTCTAGCTGTGTTGTTGGCCTGACTGGATGTGCTTCACATAATGTTTTTTTCAGGTTTGTTGAATTCTCATCTTTCATCTTTTTGTTGTATTTACCTCGTGATTTGTTCTTGAAACCTGATGAAGATCACTCGAGTTGTGATCGAAACGTCGTGATTGTTTTTTGTTTTAATATAAATTTTCTTGTATTTCTGCATACGTGACTTTACCAAAAAAAAATGAGTAATTTTATGCAGTCACGAAAGCTTTAATACTTTATTATCACACTTCTACGGGGAAGTTACCATTGTAATTATGTGTAAGATGTGCCCTTTTTTGAGCTGCCGTTTTGTATTTACAAGAGGTGGTCATTTTTTGAGCTGCCGTTTTGTATTTACAAGAGGTGGTCCTTTTTTGAGCTGCCGTTTTGTATGTGTAAGATGTGCGTGTTTGAGCTGCCGCTCTCGTTCTGGCCCCTCCCCCGCTCCAACTGTATTTCCTATTTAAGCTTCTGTTCATCCCTCCCACCCCCCCCTGTCTTTCTCTGCCTCCCTGTCCGTCTTTCTTCCCTCCTTACCTCTTGGTGGACTTGTACATGTATTTCTACTGACTGTGTACCTCGTATTTTTAATTCTATCTATGCTGGTATGTGCAATCAAAAGGTTGAACATGAAATTTAACACTCCTCTGAAATTCGTGGTCCGCCAGGAAGTGTCAAACTGTGTTGTTGGCCTGACTGGATGTGCTTCACATAATGTTTTTTCAGGTTTGTTGAATTCTCGTCTCTCATCTTTTTGTTGTATTTACCTCCGTGATTTTTTCTTGACACCTGATGAAGATCGCTTGCGTTGTTATCGAAACGTCGTGATTGTTTTTTGTTTTAATATAATTTTTCTTGTATTTCTGCATACGTGACTTTACCAAAAAAACTATGAGTAATTTTATGCAGTCACGAAAGCTGTAATGCTTTATTTTCACACTTCTACGGGGAAGTTACCGTTGTAATTATGTGTAAGATGTGCCCTTTTTTGAGCTGCCGTTTTGTATTTACAAGAGGTGGTCATTTTTTGAGCTGCCATTTTGTATTTACAAGAGGTGGTCCTTTTTTGAGCTGCCGTTTTGTATGTGTAAGATGTGCGTGTTTGAGCTGCCACTCTCGCTCTGGCCCCTCCCCCCCTCCAACTGTATTTCCTATTTAAGCTTCTGTTCATCCCTCCATCCCCCCCCCCCCCCCCTCTCTCTCTGCCTCCCTGTCCATCTTTCCTCCCTCCTTACCTCTTGGTGGACTTGTATATGTATTTTTACGGACCGGGTACCTCGTATTTTTCAATCTATCTATGCTGGTATGTGCAATCAAAAGGTTGAAGACGAAATTTAACACTCCTCTGAAATTCGTGGTCCGCCAGGAAGTGTCTGTGTTGTTGGCCTGACTGGAAGTGCTTCACATAATGTTTTTTCAGGTTTGTTGAATTCTCGTCTTTCATCTTTTTGTTGTATTTACCTCCGTGATTTGTTCTTGAAACCTGATGAAGATCGCTTGCATTGTGATCGAAACGTCGTGATTGTTTTTTGTTTTAATATAATTTTTCTTGTATTTCTACATACGTGACTTTACCAAAAAAACAATGAGTAATTTTATGCAGTCACGAAAGCTGTAATACTTTATTATCACTTTTCTACGGGGAAGTTACCGTTGTAATTACGTGTAAGATGTGCCCTTTTTTGAGCTGCCGTTTTGTATTTACAAGAGGTGGTCATCTTTTTGAGCTGCCGTTTTGTATTTACAAGAGGTGGTCCTTTTTTGAGCTGCCGTTTTGTATGTGTAAGATGTGCGTAGGTTTGAGCTGCCGCTCTCGTTCTGGCCCCTCCCCCCCTCCCACTGTATTTCCTATTTAAGCATCTGTTCATCCCTCCGACCCCCCCCCCCCTCTCTCTGCCTCCCTATCCGTCTTTCCTCTCTTCTTACCTCTTGGTGGACTTGTATATGTATTTCTACTGACCGTGTACCTCGTATTTTTCATTCTATCTATGCTGGTATGTGCAATCCAAAGGTTGAACACGAAATTTAACACTCCTCTGAAATTCGTGGTCCGCCAGGAAGTGTCTAACTGTGTTTTTGGCCTGACTGGATGTGCTTCACGTAATGTTTTATCAGGTTTGTTGAATTCTCGTCTCTCATCTTTTGTTGTATTTACCTCCGTGATTTGTTCTTGACACCTGATGAAGATCGCTTGCGTTGTGATCGAAACGTCGTGATTGTTTTTCGTTTTAATATAATTTTTCTTGTATTTCTACATACGTGACTTTCCGAAAAAACCAATGAGTAATTTTATGCAGTCACGAAAGCTTTAATACTTTATTATCACACTTCTACGGGGAAGTTACAGTTGTAATTAGGTGTAAGATGTGCCCTTTTTTGAGCTGCCGTTTTGTATTTTCAAGAGGTGGTCATTTTTTGAGCTGCCGTTTTGTATTTACAAGAGGTGGTCCTTTTTTGAGCTGCCGTTTTGTATGTGTAAGATGTTCGTGTTTGAGCTGCCGCTCTCGTTCTGGCCCCTCCCCCCCTCCAACTGAATTTCCTATTTAAGCTTCTGTTCATCCCTCTGACCCCCCCCCCCCCCCCCTCTCTCTGCCTCCCTGTCCGTCTTTCCTCCCTCCTTACCTCTTGGTGGACTTGTATATGTATTTCTACTGACCGTGTACCTCGTATTTTTCATTCTATCTATGCTGGTATGTGCAATCCAAAGGTTGAACACGAAATTTAACACTCCTCTGAAATTCGTGGTCCGCCAGGAAGTGTCTAACTGTGTTGTTGGCCTGACTGGATGTGCTTCACGTAATGTTTTTTCAGGTTTGTTGAATTCTCGTCTCTCATCTTTTGTTGTATTTACCTCCGTGATTTGTTCTTGACACCTGATGAAGATTGCTTGCGTTGTGATCGAAACGTCGTGATTGGTTTTTGTTTTAATATAATTTTTCTTGTATTTCTACGTACGTGACTTTACCGAAAAAACCAATGAGTAATTTTATGCAGTCACGAAAGCTTTAATACTTTATTATCACACTTCTACGGGGAAGTTACTGTTGTAATTGCGTGTAAGATGTGCCCTATTTTGAGCTGCCGTTTTGTATTTACAAGAGGTGGTCATTTTTTGAGCTGCCGTTTTGTATGTGTAAGATGTGCGTGTTTGAGCTGCCGCTCTCGCTCTAGCCCCTCCCCCCCTCCAACTGTATTTCCTATTTAAGCTTCTGTTCATCCCTCTGACCCCCCCCCCCCCTCCCCCGTCTCTCTCTCTCTCTGCCTCCTTGTCCGTCTTTCCTCCCTCCTTACCTCTTGGTGGACTTGTATATGTATTTCTACTGACCGTGTACTTCGTATTTTTCATTCTATCTATGCTGGTATGTGCAATCCAAAGGTTGAACACGAAATTTAACACTCCTCTGAAATTTGTGGTCCCCAGGAAGTGTCTAACTGTGTTGTTGGCCTGACTGGATGTGCTTCACATAATGTTTTTTCAGGTTTGTTGAATTCTCGTCTCTCATCTTTTTGTCGTATTTACCTCCGTGATTTGTTCTTGACACCTGATGAAGATCGCTTGCATTGTGATCGAAACGTCGTGATTGTTTTTTTGTTTTAAAATATTTTTTCTTGTATTTCTACATACGTGACTTTACCGAAAAAACCAATGAGTGACCTGGATTTAACCAGGCTGGATTGTGTGAAGAGCTCACAAATCCTTGAAAGATCTGGACACATTCCCATCAGTGAGCTCCTTCGACAGGCAAGGCTGCCTTGGCACGGTTATATAGCCCACATGTTCAACCACCGCATGCCCAAGCAGCTTCTGTTTGGTTGGATAGAGGGGGCTAAACCAGCACAGCACGGACTGAAGAAGAGATGGACTGATGCGGTATGGGAGGATGTGGAGTGGACTTGCCAAGGACTGGAACCAGCAGTGTCAAGAACATCCTCTATAGAGGCTCGTGAAGAATGCTGCTAGTCACTAAGAGGCAGTCGCCTTCCAACGACAACGAAGAGCAGAGGAGTGGTTCTTACAACAATAAGCAGCACGCTGGAAAGCAAAAATTCAGCAAGTGGGCATAGTAGGGGACAGCTAGTGTATCGGCCAGTCATCTCATTCGCGACCCATGGCACCTGGGTCTGTCCCGTGACCTCCTGTCAGTGGGCCTTCGACACTTCACGTGTCCTCAAAGTGCACTTGGCCTGGCACTGGTACCGTGGTGACATCACCACTACTTAGTGGCGAATGGCGGGATTTGTTACTCGTTTTGATAGCATGATAATTGCTGATCGTTGTGATGGTGGTGGTGATGCACAGGGAGGAGGTGTTATGACGCGAGCGCACATTACAGGTGAAGGAGAGGCCACACGGACTCTGCGGCTACACTGATTCCCCATTCAATGTTTATTAAAATCCCTCATAATTCTGCACCCGCGATTTTTACTGCACTGCGACATCACTCATACACACCAACCTGAACCTCAGTCTCCCCTTACCCGCATATCACCCTCCACTTTCCCCTCCATTCTTACCACACCATATCCACTGCCGATTCTCACCCTATCCTCACCTTCTCCTGACCCACCCCTCACACTTGTCTCTCCCTCCCCGCCACCCTCCCCTTCATATATTGTTTTTTTGTGTGAGGCTCTTTGGTCTCTTTCTCACTATTTTATGGATGCATGACTTAGATCAACGATCTCCAATGGTTCATCCCAATCCCCCGCACATAGCCCAGGGTACAGGGGTTCTGTAAATCTCTGCCGAATATTGTGCAAAAGCTCCATGGAGTCGGTACGGTAAAACGCCAGGAGCCCCCCCTCCCAATTCAGGTGAAGTCCGATTCTGCGGGGGTAGGGGTGCCCCCTCACCGACAATGGGGTTCTCACTCCATCATGAAGCACTGAGAATCTGTCATTAGATTTCTGTAAACTCCAGGATGCGTCGCTCCCTCCCAGCCACTGTGCAGCACGATCCCCTTTTCGTGGGATCGTCCCGTATGCAACTCCAACACGACACCAGCGTGCGTCACCAACATCCACCTCCCAGTAGTGCTGGCCTGACGAGAAGCTTTCGCAGCACAAAGCTTGTGGCCAGAAATCAAATTGGTGTGGGTGATTGGGGCGAGCCTGGGAGTCACAGGTCAGATTCATTTTCCTGAAATCCGAGGAGATATGGAGTTTTTCATGAGCTGAGGTTGTGTCCAGCGTTGGTGAGCATCCATCTGTGACAATAGCAATCGTAACATCACTACAGGACATCAATCTCATTATAACTAAGATTACAAACATCATCCTAATTATCAACATCATAAAAAACCATCGCTTTCAACCTCACCATCAACATCATAACCATCACAACCATCATCATCGTCTTCTTCGTCCACACATTAGTATACATAAATATCATCACCAACCATCATCTTCAGCATCAACATCATCATCAAGGTCAACATCGTTAATATCATCACCATCACCGTCATCTTGCTCACTATCACGATTAATATCAAAGGAGATGTTAAACTTCCCCAATTCCACTTCCTCTCTCCTCCCCCTCTTGGCTGATCATCTCGTCTGCCTGAGCCCCGGGTCTTGGCGAGGCTGTGGTGGTGGCCGCTACTCCAACTGCTCCACCACTTCCTACAAAATTTTTCCCCCTTTCCGCAGCTGCCCACCACCTGGTTTTCTCGGACCTCTGGTCTAGGCCAGGCTGTGGTGGCCACCATCTCTACACTTTTCTCCACTCGACTCGTGGGTTCTCCATCCATGGCTACCTTTCCCCTGGCCACCTGTGTGGTCATTGTTTGCGACCTTGTTGCCCTTTAACGGGTGTTTTTTGGCTGCAAAGTTGCCTGCGTATATCAGTGCGGTCCTGCCGATGACATCACTGGCTGGCTTAACCAGATGGCCACTTAACATTTAGCTAGCTGGCCTGGGATTGCTTCTGTCACTATTCACCTACTTCTGAAATATGGCAAAGAGTTAATCCCGTGATTTTCTGCCGTACCTGAAATAAACTTCACGTCATCCAGACACAAGCGTCCACACGGTTTGTAAACTGCTGGAATATTACAATGACGGCCTTATGTACACCATGGGTTGGGTCGCAGTCTAAAAATGCATTCAATTCACTTGACTCGTTATACCAACAAACCCATAATTAATTATGATGGCTGTCTAGGTTCCCACCCTTATACACATCTCACATCCACACCCTCATCTCCCACCTCGCAGAAATCAAGTGTCTCCTCCACAAATATAATTTGAATCCCATCTCCACCTGCCCCACATATAGCCATGACTAGTAAGTTATCCTTATTAAGCATTCGGATAGTTAATAATAAAGGACTGATTATTAATTATATTATTCTGGAGGGGACTACTGATATTCTCTGTCTCACTGAAAGGTGGCATTCGTTATCAGATCGTTCTCCATTTCTTCAATCAGTTCCTCAAGGTTACCATTTCCTCGAATATGCTCGGCCTTCAGGTCGGGGTGGTGGTGTTGTAGTTATTGAAAAATCAAACTTTTAATTCATGAAGATTAAATGTTACAGCTACTCCACGTTTGAGCACCTTACTTTTCATTTACCACCTTTTCTAAACAGAAGCGGTCTATTTTTTACCACAAAGACTAACTTATATTTGATCGGATTTCTCAGCTTATGTTTCAGGGCTCAGCATGTCTCTTTCTCCTGTAACAAATGATGGTGATTTCAATTTACATGTTGACAACCCTCTAGATCTTAATGTATTTGCATTTTTGTCCGTGCTGGATACCCTTGGCCTGACTCAATGTATTATGTCTCCTACATATTCCAAAGCCAACATCTTTTATCTGTTTTTCAAAGAACGTTGAAATTACGGTTTCCTCAATGCCACTGTTATTTACAGGGACCACTACCATTTTCATTGAACCCTTTTTCTTCCAAGCATAACTCCTAATGGCACCACTCTTTATATCGATCTTATCAAAAATTTTCCGCTGCTCTACTCTCTTCACATATTCTGGCTAAATATCCCTGTTTCTTATCCCTGATGCATCATCTCTTTATCATTGTATTAAACTAATTTAATATGTAGTTCATTAACTTTCTCCTTTCAAAACTATCTCTTCAACTCGATATTCTTCAGCTCTTCGGTACACAACTCACTTACGTTGTAAAACAAATCTGGACGTTGTTTTGAGAGAAAATGGAGAAAAAGAGATCTTGATGTTCACTTGGGGATTTGTAAGAATCAACTTAAATCATATCAGTTTAACACATAGGCTTTTGCGACCAATATTATTCATAATAAAGGTTTTTGGGTTAGATCGCGTTATTTATAAATGTGTCGTATCTACAGGCTTAGTGCGGCCTGGAAGCGTATTATTAAATAATACACATTACAATTTTTTATAGGGGAAACACATACTAATTAACGGATTACTAACATAGCATATAATCACTAACACACATTACAACTAATTACTAATCTACAACTCATTACTAATCATAACCATTGACTGATTACTAATCGATTATATAATTACAATACCCCCCCTCCGCCTCAAATCATTGCACCTGATATGAGTTAAATGATGACGTCACCCTGCTGCTCTATTTAAAACCGGGAGCAAGCGAGGGCTTTACCATTCTGGCGAATTGCCCGATGATGCTGGATGTAATTATCAGCGAAACGTCACGGTACTCAAACTGTAAATGTTGTGGATTCACTCTTCAACACACCGGTGGGCTAAAGTAGTGAATTATTTGTCTTTTGTCAACGTGACACTTTTTTGCTGATTGGCCGTGTCGGGTGGTGGAGGGTTACGACACATTTATAAATAACGCGATCTAACCCAAGAACCTTTATTATGAAGTTAAATCATATCAGTTTAACACCTAGGCTTTCGCGACCAGTATTATTCATAATAAAGGTTTATGGGTTAGATTGCGTAAGTATCAGTCATATTACTTTTCAAAGCAAAAACTAACTTACTCAAATCTGGCCAATAAAGCTGCTGGAAACTCAAACAAAATATATTGAAAAAATATCCTTCGCTCTAACTCCATCTATAATATTATTGGGTCTTTCGGTAAAGTCACATAGATAGGTTCAAAGAAAATAACTCAAAATAACCAAAAAGGTCGCGTTTCGATCACAACACAGGCGGTCGCCTTTAGGAAAAGGGGGGTTAGCTTCCAAGGCAAACTGTTTATAAAGGGTTTGAAATGAGCATAGCCCAAATGCCAGCAGCCAATGATAAGTTACCATTCTTGGATGTTTTAATCGAAAAGAGACCAGATGGCTCAATGTGACACTCTGTCTACAGGAAAGCCACCCATACGGATGCCTACCTAAAACCTGACTCCCACCACCATCCATCCCAGAATAATTCCCTCACCAAAACTCTACGCCATAAAGCTCGATTTCTAACCGTCATGACCTAGCCAGTCAACTAGAACACGTACACTAGGCTCTCAAGATGAATGGATATTCAGACCACACAATCCATAAAGCTATCACCCCAACCGTTGGAAAAGAAGCATCTGAGGACCCAATCAAAACCATCATCTTGCCATACATAGCACGGGTCACTAAAATATTTTCCAAAATCATAAGCAAAAACTATCCACGTTCGATTTAACACTACATAAAATTCGTGATCTGATCCCATCTATGAAGGGTGTGATCCCTGCATGCAATACCCCGGCGTCTACAAACTAATCTGTGTCTGCAGCAGTAGTTAGATTGGGGAAACTAAGCGACATGTCTCGGACTGTGTTCGTGAATATAAGGCAGATCTGAAACACGGTAGGACCAATACCTCGGCCGTTGGCTCACAAAATGTATTTCTCTAAGAAGAAGGTACTTTGCAAGCCCACTGGCTGTCAACAAAGATTTGTTCATGAAGCCATCCATATATATATAGCCACAGACACAATTTCAACCGAGAAGATGGGTACACACTGAGCAATCATTGGAAGGACGACATCAACGAGTTTGAGTCATAAGTGGCTATGATGTTCCCATCCTACCACCTTCCGATGTTAGTTGTGTTTTACGCCCATTTAAAACTTGCGCTTTCAAAGGGTTCTCACTGGCACAGTCACTTCGCACGCCGACCCCTTGGTTGCAGTTCTGCGATCTCCCATTAACATACTAATCTCTCTTTAACATGCTAATTTTCATCTGACAGCCCTTTGATTGGTGGAAAACCAACCAACGTCGGGTTAGTTGCTCACCACTTACATCATCATTGGCTGCTGACATTTGGGCTATGCCCATTTCAAACCCTTATAAACAGTTCTGCCTTGGAAGCTAACCCCCCTTTTCCTTAAGACGACCGCTTGTGTTGCGATCGGAATGTAGTTTTCCGTATTTTTTTGTTATTTTCTTTGAACCTATCTACGTGACTTTACCGAAAGACCCAAGAATATGAATTCCTGCAGTCACAAAAGCTTTAAGTCAAGATTTAATCCATCTGTAGCTCAATGTGAAAAATGTTTTTTCTTACTTTCAAAAACAAATGCAAAACATTAGATAATTATATAATCAATTAAAGCCCCATCTGTGTCCTATTCATTCCCACCATCATCTAGTCAATCCTGCTTGGACCAACCCCCGTTAGTTTCCGAATATTTAATCATTCACATTATCCAAACTAAAATTAAAGACACGTTCGTCTTGACCCTTTGCCTTCTTAAATTATTGTTCTGTGTTCAGCTGTTTTACTTCCATTTATTACAAAATATTTATGAATCTCTCTGCTCTCTGGTATTTCTGTTTTTGTGCCATTCGTGAATTTGTTTATTCATTTATTTCGGTGATCGGGTGTTCATTTGCTTGGTGTATATGTGTGTTGGGCTTCTTTCGCAATGTGCATAGCCAGCTATGGAAACGGAATTTGGTCCTTATATGTACTTCATGTACAGCATTATGAGATGCTGTTGGTATGAATCACTCCATACAAAATTTTAATATATTATTATCAACATCATGAACATTGCTATCACCAACCATCATTCTCATCCATCACTATCTTCATCATGATCAAAGTTAACATCATGAACATCATCACCAACATCATCCTCATCATAAATAACAACCGTCATTCGGCACTAAGTGACAGTGACGTCACCACAGCGCTTGTTTCAGGCTATGTGCACTTTAAGACCACGTGAAGTGCCAAATGCCCGCTGCCATGGATCGACTGAGGTGACTGGCAGATGCACCACCTGTACCCCCTACTGTGCAAACTTGCTGTATTTTAGCCACCGGGCGCTCTGCTCATTGTTGTGAGCGTTGCTCCTCAGCCCTCCGTATTTGTTGAAGGGTGACTGCCTTCAACTGCCCAATAGTGTCCTTCATGAGACTCCTTCACAGAGGCCGATCTTGACATCGCTGTACCAGTCATTGGCAAGTCCATATCTTCTCCAACCACATCATTGCATTTATTCTCTAGACCGTGTCGCGCGCATTTAACCCCCTCTATCCTGATTAACAAAAGCTGGCTGGGCATGAGGTGGCTGGGCATGCGAGCAACATGACCCAGCCAATGCAGCCTTGCCTGCTGGAGGAGCTGACCAATGGGACTATGTCCAGATTTTTCTAGGATGTGTGAGCTCCTCACAATCCAGCCTGTTTAAAACCGGGATAGATCGTTGGCAGGCCAGAATGAATGTTTATATTTGGCGCAGATGTTCCATTAGAAGGGTCTAAATTACACAAGCATAGAGAAGGGAGGGCATAACTATGGTCAAGAAGCTTTTTCTGGAGCGACAGACCAGGTAGCTTCCACACAGTGTTACGCAGCCAATTAAAAGATAATGCCACTTAATTGATTTAGAATGAGACCTCTGCTGTAAATCTGGAGCTGGTCATAAGCATACTACCCAGGTATTTAAAGCTCCTCACTCTCTCCACAACTGCCTCATCACCAATGGCAGTTGAGGGAGTTTTGTGGTTGATAACACAAAATACCCAGGCAAGTGCTTAGCTTTGGTATGGCTGATGGTAAGGCCCCACCTCTTAGTATCACACTCCAGGTTCAGCAGCAGCACATACAACTCCTTCTCTGAGTAAGCATCAATCACCAGATCATCAGCATACAAAATATGGTTGACCAATAGGGAGCCATCCCTCAACTTGCGCTCTTGGGCATCGAAAAGCCTCCCAATGCATCTGTAACAGATGGAAATTCCTCCGGTACAACCATAGAAGGCTTCCCAAACTACATGGTGGAAAAATATGTTAAATAACGTAGTAGCCAGAGGACATCCCTGTCGCACCCCAAGGTGAACAAGGGATGGCTCTGACTCGAGGCCACGTAGCTTTACCTGTATCTGCACAACACCACGAAGGTCCTTAACGATGGTGAGCAGCGAGCCAAGGACTCTGAATCCACAAAGAACAATCCAGAGCCCTGGGCAATTGATTGTATCATAGGCTATATCAATCAATCAGAGATGTACGTCCTCTTGGAATTCCCTACACCTCAAGTGTAGCAGATGGACAGAAAATATGGCGTATGTGCAGTACCGCCATAGGAGGAGTTTACCTTCTATATTGGGGGGGGGGGGGGGGGTGGTGGTGGACATTGGTTTACTTTATCCTTTACATTAGGAATCGCGGGTACATATACTTAATTTATCTATTTGTAATCTTCATTGTAAATTACTGAAATTTAATTAATAAAGGTGTCCAGTTTGGGCCATGCATTCCTCCCCGTGACAGCCCTGCAAATATTGCCAATGAGGACCGCCCTAGCCTGAAACCACATTGGGGCGCCGCAACCCTCTCCTCAGTGTGCCTAGCAAGGCGATGTTGAATAATCCTCGCCAGGACGTTTCCCGGTACACTGAGGAAGGAGACGCCCCTGTAGTTGTTACAGGCTGTGTGGTCCCAGTTATTAAAGAGGGGGACTACCAACGCATCCTTCCAAACCTGCTGAACCGGTCCTGTGGTACAGACTTGTGATGATGTTATATAGGGCCGTCTGCACACACTCTTGCACACACAAACACACAGAGTTCATAAATTGTCAAGATGCACACTACATAACTTACGCAGGAGTTTGGCAGCAGTTCCCTCCGCGCCTCTAAGCGAGGCAATATCCTCTTGCCTGGAAGCTGAGGGTGGAGCTCCTGTACCCCTCCCTGTCCTGTGAAAGCAAAGCAGACATGGCCACTGTCTCACATTGAGCATCATCACTCACGAGATCATTACAGTACAATCACATAGAGACTTATCATACACAGCTTCAGTACACACAGCATCACCACACACACCATCAACCCACACAGCATCATTTCACACATCACTACACAAAGCATCCCAACACAGAATCACCACACACAGCATCAACCCACACAGCATCCCCACACACAGCCAATGTCTGGCAGCCCATGCCCCACACTCAGTCCCACGTCGTGGTGTGCCGAGTTTTCAGGGATAGTCGTCTGTACCTGCGCATCTCCTCCAGGCGTCCCTGTGTGTGAGAGAGAGAGAGATGCGTTACTCTGATTCTGCCAACATTTCCGTGGGATTAGAGGCGAAATCTTCGTGGACTTGTCATCGACCTATGACAGTCTGGTTTAAGGGTTCAATGTTGCAGATCGAAGGACCATTCCCTGCCTCGAAACAATACGCCTCATATGGATGATACCGATAAATAGGCGACTGCATGTTTATGTGGTATCTACGGGTAGCCAGATGCGTGTTTTATTCTAATTGAATGCAATTGTGATCAGGGATTGGACTCCGACTCCCACGTGCACTACAGAGTACGGGAACACCCCGAATTTAGATTTGGGTGGTTTCCGAACTAGGAAGCTGTGTTTTACATTAGTTCCAATAATATAGAACTGTTACATTGATATTACTTGAATGTCAATCGACTGACAGGAACTCAGTAATATTAATTGGCTGTTGATTGAGTTATTGGTGTTCATGGAAATATGCACAATTAGGACTTTAAAATGAAAGTTGATTTAAATATATAAAATACTTATACTTATTGGGTCTAGAATATTAACACTGGCATCCCATCCCATTAACAGAGTAATTCAGCTGTGGTCTTGTAACGTGGAGGGTGTTTCTGATCACTATTTCAGATATGCAATTGCCTTTCTGAGGAACACTATGAAATTAAGTTTTGCCATTTCACAAATCCCGAGTGCTCAGCTATTGTGGAGTAGCTCACTTCTCCGGAGGACAGAACAGAACTTTATTATTTTGTTGCTTTCTATTTAATCGACCTGTCCCATTCGCAAGGATTCAGGATGAGAGATACTGGAGAGGGGAGACCAGCTACATTAACAAATCCAGCTCACCCCAGTTCCTCAACGATGGATTTCCACAATGTTCCATACTCGCGCCAATGCTATTCAATGTATATATCAGAGACATGCCGCCAAACGGGCTCATGTAAATTTGTATATGTGGATGGCCTTGCTGGGACAATGCAAGCAGTCACTTTCAAGGACTTTGAATCCACTCCGAACCAATACCTTAACACCATGGGTGAATATTTCCAGAAATGGAGGCTCAAGCCAAATGCCCACAAAACATGTCACTGCATTTCATACTCTTCGGTTCTATTCGGTAAAGTCACGTAGGTAAAAAATAAAACAACAAAAATCACGACGTTTCGGCCACAACACAAGCGGCCTCCCCCACCCATCCACTTGTGTTGTGGCCGAGACGTCGTGATTTTTGTTGTTTTAGTTTTTTACCTACGTGACTTTACCGAATAGAACCAAAGAGTATGGATCCTTGCAGTCACGAAAGCTTTAACTCTAGAACTGCATTTCATCTTGATAATACGAGTGCCAAGCACACTCTGAAAGTGACCTGCGGCAACACAGTGTGACACGACCCTACTTCAACCTATCTCGGAGTGAAGCTGGACTGTACACTAACTTTCCATGAACACCTGAAACAGGTAACCACCAAGAACAAAACAAGGATCAACCTGGTCGAAGAACTGGCAAGCACATGCTGTGGAGCATTAGCACCAGTGTTAAGGAGATCAGCGATGACTCTTGTGTAGTCTGTAGCCGAATACTGTGCACCATTGTGGACCAGAAGTAGTCACACTAGACTTTCGATGAACAACTGAACACTGCAATGCGGTGTATCACTGGAAGCCTCAAGTCAACCCCAATACCCTGGGTGCCCGTGCTGTCACAAATCTCTCCCCCACCCATCCGCCACAATGCTGCAACCCTCCGGAAAGTCCTGTGAATAAAGATAAACAGTCGCCTTCCCAGTTTAACAATATCATCCATAATAATAATAGAGGTGTTTTGAGTTAGATCGGGACCTCAACAACGTCCCTCGTCATCGCTTGAAATCACACAAGCCCTTTTGGACCCATGTGCTTAATCCTCAACATTTCGAAATTTTGAGTTTAACACCTACGAAGCTTGGAGAGCTGAATGGAGTTAAAAATAACTCACAAACACCTCATGAAAGACCTAACGCAGAAGATCTCTGGGTTTGACCTTTCACAAAGCTCACGGTCCACCTTAAACCGCATCCGCACAAATCATCGCAGATGCAGATACCTGATGCATAAGTAGAAGATTAAAACTCTCCAGTGTGTGACTGTGGTTATCTAGAACAGACTATACAACATATGATGCAATGCCTGATCCACAAATATGACGGAGACACCACAGCAATATACTCCGCCACTCCAGAAGCAGTTACACTGGTCTACAATTTTTTAGACGTCATCTGCTTCAGAGATTACATGTGCTGTTTATTATCGATTTTGATCTGCTGAATTTAAATATGACAATTAATACAACTGATTGGCTACTGTTCCCAAGATATTTAAGCTTTTACATTTTATGTCTATGTATATTGTGTAGATAGTAGCATTGTACTCATTAATTGTAAACCTAGGTATTTTCATGTGTTTATGGTTGCTTTGCATGATAACATGTCACTTGTCCTGTTCATGTAACACTTTAAAAATCAGCAAAGGGTTATATAAATAAAATGTATTATGAAACAAAAGGCAAAAAGCTATTATGTATATATAAATACATAGTTTAGTCCTTATTCAGTGTCTACTCAGCACTTCTTGGCTTGTCTCTTGCATTCATCAAATGGAGCATCTCTTGTCACTGCCCAGCAATAGTCTGCGAACATTGATGGGCTCCATTTGCCCTGATAGCCTTTCCCCATTGTTAAAATGGCATGGTGAAATCGCCCGCCATGCTCGTCGATCACTGCTCCACAGTTTGGTTGGAAAAAATATAGATAAGAGTGCAAAAATGTATCTTTAGTGACATGTTGCAACGAAGGCTTTTGTATGCCTTGAGGAGGTTTTCCACCAACTCCCTGTAGTTGTCTACCTTGTTGTTTCCGAGAAAATGTGTTGCCACTAACTGGAAGGCTTTCCATGCCGTCTTTTGCTACGCCAAGCAGTACACTGTCAAATTCATTATCTCGAAGAAGCTCACAAATCTGAGGACCAAAAAAGACACCTTTCTTTATCTTAGCTTCACTTAACCTTAGACATTTTCCACGGAGGTACTTTAAAGCTACTTGGGGTTTTGTCCATGGCTTTAACAAAGTTCTTCATCAGATACAGCTTGATGTGCAAGGGTGATAACAACATTTTCCTTGATTCAACAAGTGATGGAAGCTGAACACTTTTCCTCCCAGGCTTCAATGACTATCAGAGTGGCCAATCTATCTTGATGTAGTGGGAATCTCTCGCACGACTATCCCATTTGCAGAGCAATCAGCAGTACTTTGTGTATCCAGTCTGCAGACCAAGCAAGAGAGCAACAACCTTCAAATCGCCACAAAGCTGCCACTGATGTTGGTCATAGTTTATGCACCTCAAAAGTAGTTTCCTGTTGTCATAGGTTTCCTTCATATGGACTGCATGACCAACTGGAATTGATGCCAAAACATTGCCATTATTCAGTAAAACAGCTTTAAGACTCATCTTCGAAAGAATAAATGAACAATCCCCACTCATCTGGATCATAAACGATGTTGAGGGATGCCATCACACCATCGATGTTATTGCACGCTACAAGATCACCTTCCATGAAGAAGAATGGGAAAATATCCTTTTGACGGTCACGAAACATGGAAACCGTAACATCACCTGCCAGGAGATTCCACTGCTGCAGTCTGCCTTACTCTTTGGTAGTTCCAAATCCCTGACAAGCTTGATTTGAAGCTTTCGTGAATGCAGGAATTACTCTTTGGTTGTTTCGGTAAAGTCACGTAGAAAGAAAAGAAAATAAATTTAGAATACGACATTTTGATTGCAACACAATCAACCGTCATCAGGTGTGAATGAATGCAAGCTCGGAGAGAGACACATATACAGAGAGAGAGACAAACACAGACACGGAGAGAGACACATAGACAGAGAGAGACACAGAGAGAGACACACAGAGACACACAAAGACATTATCTGTGTGTCTCTGTGTGCGTCTCTCTCTGCTTGTGTGTCTCTCTATGTGTCTCTCCCCCATGTGTGTGTGTCTCTCTCTCTGTGTCTCTCTCTCTGTGCCTCTCTCTATGTATCTCTCTCCGTGTCTGTGTTTGTTTCTCTCTCTGCATATGTGTCTCTTTCCGAGCTTGCATTCATTCATACCTGATGACCGTTGCTTGTGTTGCAATCGAAGCGTCGTATTCTATTTTTTTTATTCATTTTATTTCTACGTGACTTTACCGAAAGAACCAAAGAGTAATCCCTGACAAGCTCTTTCAGTTCACCTTGTGTTATGAGATGTGGTTCAGAGGAGGAGGATGGGAGAAAATCTGGGTCACGTGACTTTGATGGTTCAGGACCAGAAGCTTCATCCTCTTCCTCGTCTGACTCTGGTGCATCATCCTCTTCCTCGTCTGACTCTGGTGCATCAGGAACCAGCAGTTCTTCTCCGTCGGGTACTGGGCGTATTGCTGATGGCACGGTTCGATAATGCACAGCTCACTTTGTCTTCTTTGGCACACCTTTCCCAACTGGAGGTGCCATGAGAAGTAACAATTGCTGATATGATCTGTTGGCTCTCTCCAAATAATTGGCACTGCAAAAGGCATACATTTTATTTTCCTGTTCAACCACTGGCAAATATTTATTGCACAAGTGTTGCAACATATGTGTGGGGCCCACATCTTGTCCTAATCTCCAATTTGCAGCCAAAACAAAGGTCATAGGCTTTCTTAACCATAGCAGTGCGCTTTTGTGATGCAAAAGTCATTTCACCACAAACATAGCAGAAGTAATCTGCTTTGTTCACGCAAGTATGAGGCATCTCTGCTCACTTTGGATACACAGAAATGTGCCCCTTTGCAAAATCAAACACTGACAAATAAGAGAGCACGACATTGTATTATTTCTAGAGCTGATATAGGGCAATTTGTTCAGCAGAGGGATGTAAGCCTAGTTATTATTGCATCATCCATATGACTTCTAGGAATAACACGATGCAATTCATATAATGTATGACACAATACCAATTTCATATTGCATTATTCATTGTTTTACTCAAAAATCAAGTATTGTCCAAACCCAGTATTAGATGTATTCATAGATCCAGCCAAAGATGTATTTTAGAAATTTCTGGTTTAAATTGAGATCCCTTCCCTTTATAACTCGCTTATCCTCTGCCATTCCCAAGTCAAGGGTCGTATATACTGACCCAGTAGCATATCTTATTTGGTTCTTTGGGTAAAGTCACGTAGAATGAGAATAAAATAATAAAATAAAACAATAAAATTCTCACGACGTTTCGGCCACAACACAAGTGGCCTTCTTCAGGTGAAAGGAACAACCTGTCTGGACGACAGAGCTACAATGAACGCTGCTAAGATTCGCAGCATCTTTTAAGCTGACTAATCCCTCAACTGTTTCAATGCTAAATTCTCCTGTTTGATATGTAAACCCCTTTGTCAAGGTGCCTCACTTCTCTCAACCATTGCAACTCCACGAGGTGAGATCTTGCATGGAGCCCCAGGCCGAGGGAGATTGACAGTTCTTTTGTGTTGCTTCCATTTGCGAATAATCGCACCAACTGTTGTCACCTTCTCACCAAGCTGCTTGGCAATGGTCTTGTAGCCCATTCCAGCCTTGTGTAGGTCTACAATATTCTCCCTGACATCCTTGGAGAGCTCTTTGGTCTTGGCCATGGTGGAGAGTTTGGAATCGGATTGATTGATTGCTTCTGTGGACAGGTGTCTTTTATGCAGGTAACAAGCTGGGAGCCAGAAATCTTTCTGATTGAGAGGGAGTCAAATACTTATTTCCCTCATTAAAATGCAAATCAATTTATAAAATTTTTGACATGCGCTTGTCTGGATTTTGTTGTCTTTATTCTGTCTCTCACTGTTCAAATAAACCTACCATTAAACTTATTGACTGATAATTTCTTTGTCAGTGGGCAAACGTACAAAATCAGCAGGGGATCAAATACTATTTTCCCTCACTGTATGCACCATGACGCCAGCGCACATGGCGAACTCTTTGTTTAATAGCATTACTGTGGTGATGGTGTTGGTGACTGACTCCCTGGCTTTTGTCCCTTCAACTAGTGGCTAACTTCATTGCAAAGTGATGACGCCATCTATTCAATATCCTCTTAAACAAATCCAGCAATGCATGCGCCGCCTCTACCATCTCCAGATATGCTGACAACCCCACCTGCTCAGCTGCCTCTGCTCTAGGAGTTCACTCTATGAAGAACCCGTGTAATGGCCACAACATTCAGTAGCTACATTCAGTAGCTACATTGGAGAAACCAAAAGACATATCTCGGACCGCATCCGCGAACATAAAGCAGACTTGAAACACGGTAAGACGAACTCCTCTGCCGTGGCAGATCACTGTTACAATTCAGTGGGCTCACATGACATTGACTTCTCCAAGACGGAGGTTCTTTGCAAACCAACTGGCTACCATGAGAGATTCGTTCATGAGGCCATTCACATATACAAGCACAGAGACAATTTCAACCGAGAAGATGGATTCAGGCTTAGTAACCACTGGAAAGATGTGTTAAATCATTTCTGTTCTTAATTAATTGTAATTTTACGATGACCTTCAGACCACAGCTCTTTCGCCAGCATTGCCTCTTAATACCTCTCACACCACGGTTAATGGTATGGTTTACAACATGGAGTATACTAGGGCTTCGCAGCTGTCTCTCTCCCCCTCCTCTGTTCCGACCATGGACGAACTCGTCCGTCTGAACGGGGCCCGTAGCTATCCGTGGTACGGAAATTTGAGGGTAAGAATCCACCCATTTTTTCGCCATATAGCATTGTGATATATAACGACTTATGGTTGGTAGCTTAGCTGATTGGAGAATATAGAGTTTATTGATAACATGAAGGTAATTTATATTTTAGTTTTTATTGGTTCACTATATAGTACTGTGAATAGCTCAGATGTGTAGTCATTTCTGTGACCAGTCACCAGCAAATCACCCAGTTATTTCAATGCTAAATTCGCCTAGTTATTTCAATGCTAAATTCTCCTGTTTTGATTTGTACTAAGTGCCTCGGTGAATGTGTATGCTCTGACTTCAACGTAACTATTTCTGTAGCAGTTACAAGCGAATGCCTTAATTTAGCTATTTCAATGCTAAATTCTATGCTAATTCCTTTTAACAATGGGTGCCTCTGCGGAGGTGTATGCTTTAACTTTTAACATAGCTATTTCTGTGACCAGTCACAAGCTAATCATTCAGCCTTTTCAATGCTAAATTTTATGCTAATTCCTTCGTCAAGGCTCTTTGTTCCTCTCACACAGCTTAAAAGCCGTGATCTGAACGTGGCTCTCTCACTCCAGCGCTGTCCTACCAGACAGTCTCGCTCCCTTCACCTGATGAAGGCCGCTTGTGTTGTGGCCGAAACGTCGTGAGAATATTATTGTGTTATTTTATTTTATCAATTTATTATGTTATTCTCATTCTACGTGACTTTACCGAAAGAACCAAAGAAGATGTAGATGACACTTTCGTCATTTGGCCTCGTGGCCTGCAAGCATTGAACCAATTTCTCAACCACATCAGTTCCATACAATGGACGTTCATGTTCATGAATGGAGCTGTCCTCCATCACAAACCCTACTCTGGGTGGAGTCACAGGGTCACAGAGTCTGGTCCAGATGCGGTACCTGCTCGTCCATGCGAGCAGCCTCCATCTGGCTCACAAAATCCTCTGCTTCCCTCCTCAATTCTTCCACCGCCCGCGTATCCTCTCTGACTTGTTTCTGTGAGAGACGTCACCAGGGGAGACTCCGCTCACTCTCTGAGCCTCCCTCTCACCCCCGCTCCACACGGTCCCCTCCAAAATGACGGCCCCATCTCCAGGCTGCAGTAGCCACTGTGTATTGATGGAGGTCGGGGGAGTGAGCACTATAGAGAACTGATTCCACGAGGAGTTCAAACACCTCCTGGAGCTGGGCTCAGAGAGCATGCGCAGGAGCGTGAGCCTGTGACCCTAACACTTTCCACTGCTACCTGAGTCATGGGTGGGGCTAACCCAAGTAGTGAGTGGGTACATGAATAATGGGCTGTAGAGTCCAGCTTTAAGCTGGTACAAACCAGCACGAGACGTTTCTGCCAGTGAGAAGACTCGGCTACCAAGCGGTCAGCGCTGGGGCTCACAGTCCCAATCGTTTTACATTTTACTTCAATTTTATTGAACCCCACAAAACCACATTTTATATACGACCCAGTCTATTAACTCACGTTCTATTGAGAACACATTGTACAAATTCAAGTCCATCAGTTGTATAAAATACACGAAGAGCACACTTATTAATTTTATATATAATACAGGCTTGATACGATACAACATGTGATTGTCTTATTTCTGCACTATAACAACCTCCACATACTTAATTTAAAAAAAAAGTTTGTTAAAATGTGAAGGCGCACTGGGCAGCTGAGAGAGAGAGAGAGGAATGCTGTACTATTTATTTGGATATTATTGTTTAGTGCGTGCTGAGAAATGATTACTTGAACAGGAGAGGCTCCCCCAAACACACGCAGACCCTCTCACCTCCCGTGTCTTGTGCTCATCCTCCAGGGTAGCCACATCGTGACCCTTGTGGTCTCCTGCGATGGCGCAGGTTCTACAGACCAAACTCATGTTCTGTCTGCAGTAACACTTGATCTCTTCTCTGTGCTTTTCACACTTGCGTTCTTCATGATTCGTCTCTGGAGCCACCAGAATGTGGTCCCTGAACTTCGGGTTCTCCTGATGAGGCTTTACATGAGTCGCACAGTAGGAGGTATCACACCTGAGGCAGGTCTTCGAGGCAGCAGTCGTGCCATCGTTGCAGAAGTCACACAAGACCACGATGGCCATTTTCTCTGACATACTGCGCTGCTCCACCAGGTTGACAAGCGTGAAGTTCCTGTTCAGCTGGGGCCTCCGAGGGAAGGTCACTCGGCACTGCGTGCAAGAGGAGAAGGAAGCGACCGCCTCCCAGGCGCCCTCCAGGCACTTGAGGCAGAACGAGTGGCCGCAGCTGAGCGTGCAGGAGCAGTGGAATGCGTCCAAGCAGATGGGGTAGATCGACTCTCCTGGAACCTCGCTACCACTCGGAACTGCACTCGCCAGGGCCCGTGCCTTCACTCAGAGATCAGCGGTGGCTGGAGCTCAGGCCGTGGATGGCTGTAACCGAGGCAATCGCTGGCTGTGGCTGAGGCATTCGTTGGCTGTAGCTCAGGCAGTGGCTGACTATGGCTGAGACAGTCGCTGGAGGTAGCTCAGGCAGTGGCTGACTGTAACTGAGGCAGTCACTGGCTGTAGCGCAGCCAATGGCTGGCTGTGGCTGAAACAGTCGCTGGTTGTGGCTGAGGCAGTCTCTGACTGTAGCTAAGAGACGCTAAACCAGAAATAAGCCATGTAAATGTGAAACAAGGAAGCACGAACGCTTTCAGATTGATTTGCATATTACGAGGCGCGCGCTGGAATGTGTTGACGTGTGAGCGGGCACAGACGTCTCCGGCACCAGAGGTGGTTAGTCAAAGTCCATCGCCACTATCCTCATGTCTACTCACCAACTAACCTCGTCATCTCCTCTCACCTCATTCATTCAAATTAAGTTTTGAGTTAAAAACTCGCCCCCACTAAAGAGGGTATCGCAATACTTTACGGTGTGAATAAAACGAAGACATAAAATATCAAAACTGGGCGACATACTCAAGGAAAAGCTCATTCATTCAAATTATTTTTTGAGTAAACACACATCTTCACACCCCTCGTTTAATCTCAATTCAACTCACCTCATCTTAACTCACGTCATCCCCACCTTATCTTAACACACCTGATCCGAATTCATCTCATGCTCACAAACCTCACCCTAAACTCACCTCACCCGATCTCACTTATTCACCCACTGACTCATTCAATCACTCACTCATTCACCCACCAACTATTGCACGTACCCATTAATTCAGTCACCCACCATCTCACTTACTCATTCACTCACCTTCTCACACCAATGCTTACATTCACTCACTCACCACCATCTCGCTCATTCAAGCTCCAATAATTAGTGGAGGATCGATCTGGCCTTGCCACGCTCTCAGACACTGATCTCAGCTGACAATCGTGTACTCTGTCTTTCCTGGGTTTAGCTTCAACAAATTTTACTCCATCCAAACAGCTACTTCAGACAAGCATAGTGATGGGGCAAAGGTTGTGGAGCCAGTCTGGGTCTGACATGAATGAGATGTGAGTTTCATCAGCATATTGATGGCACCGAAGGCCATGACTCCGGATGAGATCACCTAATGGCCTAATGACACCTGATGAAGATCGCTTGTGTTGTGATCGAAACGTCGTGATTGTTTTGTTTTAATATAATTTTATTGTATCTCTGAATCATATTTACAGTAGACTTCATAATAAGCAGTACTGCGCCAGTCTTTTTCTTGACTTGTCCAAAGCCTTTGATACAGTCGACCACAACACCATGCTGAATAAAGGAAGTTGCCTCCATTTCTCCAAACACGCAGTAGAATGGTTAAAAAATTACCTCTCTTCTCGCACCCAAACTGTATTCATAGATGGTTGGAGGTCAAACAGTGTTAAGATAACAAAAAGTGTTCCACAGGGTTCCATCCTCGGCCCCCTCTTGTTCTCTCTTCATGTCAATGACTGCTGACCGCTCTCCAGATGACTTGATCGCTAAAAGCACCAGGGTGATTTCTACAAACTACATCAGCTAGTTGCTCTTAAACTAGTCCTGAATACCTCCAAAATCAAGGTGCTATGCTTCTCACCAGGACTAAAACAGGAAGTTTCTTTTTTCCCCAATTATATTCCTTAAATAATCATCAAATAGAGCAAGTCAAGATCTATAAGTATATTGGGGTCATCTTTGATTCAAAGCTGAATTTTGAAGATCACATTGATTATATTGGTAAAAAGACAAAATAAAAAAAATTGTTTTCTGTATCGACACAAGCACTGCTCCCCCCCTATGTTCTGCTTGGAATTGATAAAAACTACCATACTGACTCTACTTGATTACTGTGACATCGTAAATAAATCAGCCCCCAGTACTATACTGAAGAAGCTTGACACAATTTATCACTAGGCCTTAAGATTTGCATTGAACTGCCAATATAAAAACAGCAGACTACCTGCTGGATCTCCTCACTGTTTCGAAGAACAAATGTGACCTAAGGTTTCCGCTCATTTACCAGCTTAACATTCCTTATTGCCGTACAAATACTGGAAGGGGCTTTTCTATTGATGCCCCCAGGGTCTGTAATGCTATCCCCAATAAATTGCAACTTGGATCACTACCTGAGATCTTCACTCAAAACTGCTCGAGAGGAGTTGTACACCCCTAGCTGCCACTGCTATTCAGAATGGCCTGAAATCAAATGTATCGTTCCGGATGACCGCTGCAAAGTATGATCTTGAGTTTTGATTATAGTGTGATGATCTTTAAAGGTGTATTGAAAATGTTTGATACTGCTGCTATTATGGAGTGACTCATGCAGACAGCTATGGCTGCAAAGTTTAGTCGTACATGGTATGTATATCGTTTATTGTTATATTTTAATCACAGTTCCTGTGATCACTGTTACATTGTTTTTATAGCTTTAATTTGGTGATTTTGAAAACGTTTTGGTTTAGCCATGTTTATTTGTTGTAGTACAGAGTTAGCCTGATAACTTTAATCTAAATTGTCTTATGGTTATTATTGTTTGACTTGCATCCCACTGGGATTTTTGCACACAGCGTTGAAATACGGTGTTTTTTTCTGGAAGACTTTGCTGTTTTTTCCTGGATTTTTCTGTTGCGTGTAGTCACTTTAAGACGTTTATCGTTTATGTTTTTGTTTGTTGCGGTTGCACCCGAGTCAAGAGCCGCATGGCTCACAGGGTTATACCTATTAAATGCAACTGAAACTTTTTATGTTAATGTGGTTCGTGATGTGTAGCGTTTTGAGATGCAATTTTCACGCAGGACACTACGTTGAATAACTTTATAACATGACTGTTTCTATATTTATTTCCTCATACATCTCTCTCTCTCTCCACCTCTCCCCATCTCTTAATTCATAATGCTCCCCCTTCCAGCCTCCCATCCCTCTCTATCGGTCTCCGTCTCTCTCTCTCTCTCTGTATGTCCTCGTCCACATCCCCCATCCCTCTCTATGGAACTCATTAACTTGCGATTAAATACAAATATAGTGACCAAAAAGAAAGTCAGGGCACATAGTATGTAAGTATGTTGAACTTATTTAGTATTGCAAATAGCCAACTGTGCTGATTTAATTGCAGGGGAAGAACAAACAAAACATAAATAGCAGTACTAAAGAAATTTCAATCTAGGTTAAAAAGTGCACAACTCCAGTGGCTTCCTAATATCAGAAGGATGAGCGTTCCATACGGCCACTGCGGTGTACAATTGTGTATCATCAGTATATTGATGGAACTTGATGTTATGTGATGAGATACATTGGCGATCGGAGAGATATATTTTGAAAACAGGGAGGGGCCCGAGAACGGACCCCTGTGGTACGCCAACTAGGCACGGCATAGGCGATGAATTATTATTGCCCAGCTTGGTGAACTGTGATCGACCATGTAGGTATGCTTCAATCCACTCTAGTGCTGTACTCGATATACCGAACCTTGACCTTCGGCATCCAATGGTCAATGGTATCGAAGGCGGCTGAGAGATCGATGCCAACCAATGCTGCGGCACACCAGTCATCCATGATCTTGTAGAGGTCATCAGTGATCTTTAGTAAGGCTGTCTGTGCTCTGAAGCTTCCGGAATCCTGACTGCAATGGGTGGAATCTGCCCATTGCAGTAATATGGGGAAGTAACCGCTTCAAACACAGGCACTCTATGACCTTTGACATGGTACTCAAGATTTAAGATCTGGCAATAATTAGCGGGGTCACTATGGCTCAAGCCAACTTTTTTCTGGAGCAGTGTTACCCGTGTCATTTTTAACCGGTCTGGGAAACAGCCCTCACTGAACGAAATATTTTTGAGGTGCACAATCAGCGGTGCAAGCACATCTGAGCATTATATTTTTTTATCTAAGTGTCGATGCAGTCAAGCGGTGATGTCTTATTTGGCAGCTGTGGGTTGAACATCGACACCTTTGTCACCGACATTGGTGCCAAGGTCTCGAGTTTTGAATCGGTTCCAGTTTGCACAAACTCAGATGGAGAATGCCGTATTGATCACCACTATTTTATTGTCGAAGAACATCACAACTACTGTGCACAGACCGGGTTTACTAATTAATGGGTGGTTGCAGTGCAGCATACCCTTCACGACGCGCCACACAGCAAAGGAGTCGTGAGCCGACTCATTGACGTGCAGAGCATAGGACGATCTGTGAGACTCGATGAGTCAGACAGCCTTGAAATAAATGTTCACTCCAATCTTATCTGCATCTGCTTCGCAGCAATCGCCTCCGGTGACAGCCGGTTACTGCGTGCTTTCCCCTTTCTCTTTGTGCTTGTTCGGAGGGGCACTAGTTCATCAAAAACAGCAGTGATGTAATTTTCTAATCGAGCTGCAAATTAATCTAGAACTTCAAATCTAGATTAGACATCTCCATTTCTCCCTATACCTCCTCATCCACATCTTCCATCTCTCCCTCTCTCTACGTGCGAACGTGCGAGCTCTGGTGCTTCCGGAGGGCGCCGGCGCGTGCGAACCTGCAGCCGCACTGGGTGCACGCGTGCTGGGGCCGGCGCTGCCCGGCGTGGGCGCGCGCGTGCGCCCGCAGGTTGGAGCTGCTGGTGAACGCGCGGCCGCACTGCGGGCACACGTGCGGCCGCTCGCCCGTGTGCGTGCGCGCGTGCTTGCGCAATGTGGACACCGCCGCGAATGCGCGGCCGCACTCGGCGCACACGTGCGGCCGCTCGCCCGTGTGGGTGCGCGCGTGCTGGGCCAGCTCGCGGACGCTCAGGAAGCGTCTGCCGCACTCGGAGCACGCGTGGGGCTTGTCTTTGTCCTCTGTCACAGACGGGGGGGAGCGGAGCGGGACGAGAGGGGAGAGGTAGGGCCGTGCACGGAGGGGGGTAGTGCAATGAGAAGGGTTTGATGGGGGTGGTGAGAGGATGATCAGGGAGAAGAGGGGTAGGGAAAAATAGAGGTCGGCAGAGAGGAAGATGAGGACAGCGAAAGACGGAGAAAAAACTATTATAAATTCGGATTGAGGGACATCTTTAAGGACAATATTGTATTCGATATTTCTCCCTCCTTGCTCCCCTCCACATAAAGACCCAACTCTGCCCATAGACCCAACACTGCCCATAAACCCAACATTGTCCATGTACATGAAGGAGTAACTTTCTTTCTATCCTTTATTTAAGTCTCACCTCTTCTCCATTGCCCACGTTATAATTTTGCACGTTCTGCGTTGTGGGAAAAGAGTTCCCGAATGGAAGAACCGCGTTATAGCGAAAACGCGCCATGTAAACACAATGCGTCAAGCGAGGACTTGCCGTATCTGCACTCTTAGATGTTTTGTGACATTACCAATAAATTATATAAGCCGTCGTCGTTGTTGACCAATCTGGATATCGCCAATGTTGCGGCAGTCAAACACAAAACCGCCACGCACCTAGGAACCCGGAGTCCCAGCCAGCAGCGTTAGCAAGCAATCAGCAAGCAGGAAGCAAGCGGAAAACAAGCAGCAAGCGGCAGCAGCAGAGCGCTCACCGGTGTGCCGCTTAAGATGCTGCTTCAGGTTTGTGGCATGTGGGAACGCCTTGCCGCACAGCTCGCAGACGTGCGGGCGGTCGCCCGAGTGAGTGCTCTGGTGCTTGCGCAGCGTGGAGTGGTGTGAGAAGGCCTTGCCGCACAGCTCGCACACGAAGGGCCGTTCGCCGGTATGCGTCGTCTGGTGCCGCTGCCGGCTCTGGTTGTCGAAGAAGGTAGCGCAGCAGCGCTCGCATGCAAAGCGGCGCTCCTTCACCAGCCCTGCCACGCGCTCTGAGGTCAGAATCAGAAATCTTGATCGATTAGACTGCAGGAGGAGGAGGAATCGGATGGAGTTATGAAGCTCTTTTTCACAATTGTCCAGCAGGGGTCAACAAGTTATGACAAGAATAAAAAAAACTATAGGAGTGTAAAAGTAGCGAAAAGGTAAGCAAGTCACAAAAAATAAATATATACAACTAGATTAACTACATAATGACAAATTGCGTAAGTACGTACATTTCTGCCGATTTTTTTTTTTACACAAAATGCAAGCTTGGACAAGGCAGCAAAACAACAATAAAATCATTCCCAGACAACACACAGTCCTTCAATAAAATGGCACGTAAAAACATAACAATCAAAACACGGGTATAGGTCACACAGCCATAGGTTGCATTTGACACGCGAGATGGGTGCGAGACGAGATGAACATGGCAGACGCAAACACAGCAGGGGAAGCTACGAGATAGGGGACACCCACTGCCCTCTCGGTCGTTCTGTATATTTTTTCAGTTTAACAGCCATCTCTCCATCCTGAAACCTCGCCCCCCAAAGCATGCCAACCTAACTGATCTCTTTCCCTTCCCTATCATCAACCTCTCTACTCCTTCCCATCCCTCCCCTGCCCTTTGGTGACCCCATGTGCCCTCTGTAACGGTCACTCATTCCTCGGCCCTTGCCATCTAAATAACTCTGTCTTACCGATTTTGAACTATGTAAAGCGCCTTCATCTAAGTCGCTCTATAAATATAACATAAGATTAATAACCCCATAGACAAGATGAGTGCCTCAATAGTAGTCAGCAGCTCACAATCAGACATTTGCGAGTTAAAATACTAGTTTTGTAATTGACTCGGCACAAGATCCCTGTCAGTTCAATAAAGTTGGTACTATTTTGTGGGAAAGTCAACAGTGATTGTCCTATGGAGAGATTTGCCCCACTCTTATAAAAATATGGATGTTTCACCACTGGTCCAGGACTGTAGAGAGATGATAAATGCCTGACTGCTCATTTGAGCAGAGCATCACATTGTCTTTGATTATCCAATACCGTGCTCTGTATTGTAATTTTAACAAATGTTTATCTCCATTGTAACATTGGCGTCACGTCACAACGGAAATAATCAATTTGGATTTCTCGCAGAGCAGTATGTCATCATGTGTTAAAGAACCCACAAAAATGGATATCAAAGAGCTACCTCCGAGATTCCATTCAGTGACCTCAGGTCCACATATGCAGTACTCTCCCACTCACTCTAAAAATGAGTGAGGTTTGTCGCATTGCAGTCAAACCAATATTATTAATTATCAGAGCTGGAATTTCACCAAGTTGTCATGGTTTTTCATGCAGTCACAAGTAAAATCATCTTGAAATTGAGCCAGGGCCTCCCAAACATTTCACAGCCAGCTGTGTAAGTGGACCGCGCAAACCTTGTGAGTACCATTGGCCTCCTGTCACTCATAATGGACAGGTTACCCAGGGTCCCACAACCCTGGTGCGCAAATACAACCCCGCACCGTGCCCTTTCGCACCGTCCATGCCCTCACCCGCGTGCGTCTTCTCATGCTTGCGCAGGAAGGCGCGGTGTGAAAACGCCTTCCCGCACGTGGCGCAGGCATGCGGTTTCTCGGCCGAGTGCCGCCCCTGATGCTTCTGGAGCGACGTAAGCTGTGAGAAGGCGCGGCCGCATGCGGCACACGCATAGGGCCGCTCGCCCGTGTGCACCCGCCGGTGCTTGACGAGCGACGACGCCACGGAGAAGGAGCGCCCGCATGCGGCGCATGCGTAGGGACGCTCGCCCGTGTGGGTGCGTGCGTGCTTGGTGAGGCTGGAGCGCAGCGCGAAGGCCTTGCCGCATGCGGTGCAGGCGTAGGGCCGCTCCCCTGTGTGAGTGCGCGTGTGGCGCCGCAGGTCACGCGACTCGGCGAAGCAACGGCCGCACTGCGGGCACGCGTGGCGCTTCTCCTTGGCACGAGCTGCAGTGGCAAGGAGATGGGAGAGAGAGGGAATTACAATAATTAAAATGTTGTAAAATGGCTTATTTTATCCGTAAATCTCACAAATGCGCCACCATGTATAAAAATCAGAACCTGCAGGGTAAATGGCCAAAACTATTGGGCGTTAAAGGTCAATGTACCCACTCACTCACCCACTCACCTACTCATTCGCTCATCTACTCACTCACCTCCTCACTCAGAACCAGGATAAAAGGCCAGAACTAGAGAGTAAAGGGGAATTTATATAGGTGAGTTTTAAAGACAGACTTAAATATATCTCACAATTCTGTCTAATTAGCAAAAGCAAAGTGATGTTCTGAAGCTTGTGAGCTGCACTGCAAAAATCCTGATCACCCCAGGAACACAGCCTTGCACTTGGATTACTTATGTAGGGGTATAGCGCTGGCTGCTGGGGGAAAAGGGTAACTGCGGTGTACGCAGTACTCGTGTCAGCAGGCTGCAGTATATACGCGAGGGGGATATCTATGGGAAAGGTCATAGAAGGGGCCCATCTTCACCATCCCGGAGTGCTGTTAGTCAGACAGCCTACCAACTGTTCTAAGTAGTATCGCCGACAATAGACGGTCTTAATTATAATAGTGTACACCCACGTAGGGTGTGTATATATCCCGATGGTGCTTGTTAATCTTGATTTGAAGCTTTCGTGACTGCAGCTGTACTTAACTCAGCTCACTACGTGACTTTATCGAAAGAACCAAAGAGTATGGTGCTTGTGAAATAAAGTGCCTCCAAGTATTACTGTCTCCAATCTGCATCACTACACTTGGAAGAATGCGATCCGAATATCTCAGGGACCTCGTAGGAGTATTAAGAGGGATCAAGTCCTGTCAATATTGTGGCGCTAACCCACCGAGTGCTTTGTAGGTCAGCAGCACTGTAGTGGTTAGCGGTGTGTTACGAATCTAGTAACCAGAGTTCGATTCCCATTCACATCTAACATCAGTGATGATTATGTGAACTGGTACTGGGCCCTACCCTAAGATCATTTCCAAAGACAAATGTTGTGAAAACACTCGTAAAATAACAAAGGAAATATGATAAATAAAAAAGTCAAACAATCATACCATGCCAAAATAAAATCAGAAAGATAAATTATGAAAATAGATAAAAATAGATATATAAATAGATATCTGTGCATGGCGCTGGTGTGGCGAGGCGACAATATCATCACTAATTCAACTTCTCTAATCGAACACACCAAACAACTCTCTCTAAAACCTGCAGCTGCTAGACCACCCAGATTTTACGGCCTCCCAAAAATCCATAAAGAGGGTACTCCACTCCGTCCTATCCACCTTAACTCACCCACTTACAGACTGGCACGATTTCTGCCTGAGACTCTGCTTCCCTTCACGGGCAAGACTGCCTCAGCTGTTCTTAATTCGGCCCACTTGGTTTCACTAATCAAGGACATTACACTGTCCCCGGATGATTTACTTGTCAGTTTCGATGTAGTCTCCCTCTTCACCAAGGTACCCGTACCTGATACTATTGCAATCATCGAAGACCTAGTCCAACAGGGATTGGACCCTGATGTACCTTCGTTGGTAAGTTACGGCCTTACCAACACTTATTTCACCTGGAATGGTACTTTCTACAAACATAATGGAGGTACCCCAATGGGCTCTCCACTATCACCAGTGGTGGCCAACATTTTCATGGAGAAATTTGAGACAGATGCCATCCAGACATCCACCCGATGTCCTTCCTTGTGGAAGAGCTACGTAAATTAAACGTTTGTCATCTGGCCACATGGCCAGCCAGTACTGAACCACTTTTTCAACCACATCAATTCCATACACCCATCCATCAAATTCACTATGGAAGTGGAAAATGATGGCAAGCTACCATTCCTGGATGTTTTGATCGAGAAGAGACCTGATGACTCGTTGGGACACTGTCTATAGGAAAGCTACCCACACGGATTCCTATATAATGCCTGACTCCCACCACCATCCAGCCCAGAAGAATTCCCTCATCAAAACACTACACCATAGGGCCCTTTGCATCTCCGACCAGCACCACCTAGCCAGTGAGCTTGAACACATATGCCAGGCACTCAGGAGGAATGGATATTCTGACCACACAATCCGCAAAGCTGCATCCCCAACCATGGGTAGAGAACCATCTGAGGACCCAATCAAAACCATCACCTTACCATACATAGCAGGGGTCACCAAAAGGATTGCCAAAATCTTAAACAAACTCAAGATCCAAGTTCGGTTCAATACAGTACACAAAATCCATGATTTGATCCCATCGGTGAAGGATGTGATTCCAGACATGCAATGTCCTGGTGTCTATAAGCTGAGTTGTGTCTGCGGCAGCAGTTACATTGGTGAAATGAAGCGACGTGTCTCAGACCGGGTTTGCGAACACAAAGCGGATTTGAAACATGGCAGAACCAACTCCTCGGCGGGGGCGGATCATTGTTTGAACACTCTGAGCACACATGACATTGCTTTCTCCGGGACCAAGGTGCTCTGCAAACCCTCGGGCCACCTTCAGAGATTTGTTCATCAAGCCATCCAGATATACAAACACAGACAAAACTTTAATCGAGAAGATGGATTCAGATTGAGCAATCATTGGAAGGATGTGATAAACAACGTGAAGTTTTAAATGCTGTGATTTTCACTCACCCACCCGTTTGTCGTCGTCCTCACTCACTCACCCGGTTGTCGTCGTCCGATTACGACTTGTACTACAAGTCCATTTACTTGCTAATTTCTCTAGCCCCACCCGTCCATGCACGCCACAACCACCCCCTCTCCCCCCGGTGCTAGCCCCCTCCTGTCCCTGCATGCAACAAACCCTCCCCCCTCTCCCCTGTGAACTCCCACAGCCAAACTCCTTCCACCCCCTTCCCTCTCCCCTCACGTGCCGCTATAAAGCCACAACAGCATATCATTTTTTCACACCTGAAGACGGACGCTTGTGTTGCGACCGAAGCGTCATGTTTTATTTTCTTTTATTATTTTTTCTATCTACATGACTTTACCGAAAGAACCAGAGAGTACCGGTGTAACTATCAGCTGCAACAGAATATCAACAGGCATATGCACACAACGTCTTCAAAAACTGAAAATGAATGACCAACCACAGTGCGATTGTGGCCATGCAATCCAAACTATGGACCATATACTCTTTGGTTCTATTGGGTAAAGTCACGTAGGTGAAAATAAAATAACAAAAAATCATGACGTTTCGGCCACAACACAAGCGGCCTTCATCAGGTGAAGGGACGAGACTGTCTGGAGGACAGCGCTGGAGTGGGAGAAGCCACGCTTAGATCACGACCTTTAAGCTGTGTGAGAAGAAAAACACAAAGCGCCTTGACAAAGGAATTAGCATATATTATGAGACCTCCTTTGCCAGAAACAAGACATAGGAATAGGTTTTACCCCTTCAACTGGCACAAAAACTGACACCTTTATTCAAGGCATCATGCTTGCAATGACCACAACACAAGCAGTCAAAATGCAAACAAAAAAGAAAACTCTGGCAAAGGAGGTCTCATAATGTTAATGCTCACCCCGAGACCTCAATACTCTGATAGTGCGCTGTTTTTGAGTTGTACGCCTTTTGGCGTCTTCTGGTCCAACACCAATGGAGACTAGGCTCTAAGAAAAGCTGTCTCGGGTGTGGACCAATCAAATTCAAGGACAGTGCATATTATTATCAGAGTTGTCTTTTTTGTTTGCATTTTGACTGCTTGTGTTGTGGTCATTGCAAGCATGATGCCTTGAATAAAGGTGTCAGTTTTTGTGCCAGTTGAAAGGGTAAAACCTATTCCTATGAATTAGCATATAATTTAGCATTGAAATGGCTCATTGAAATAGCTAAGTTAAAGTATACACATCCGCAGAGGTACCCCTTGACAAAGGAATTAGCATAGAATTTAGCATTGAAATAGCTGAGTGATTAGCTTGTAACTGGTCACAGAAATAGCTATGTTAAAGTCAGAGCATATACATTCACCGAGGCACCTAGTACTCATCAAACAGGAGAATTTAGCGAAACACAACCACGCTCAGACAGCAGACCTTTAAACTGTGTGCGAGCAAACAAGCTATTTCTGTGACCAGTTACAAGCAAATCACTCAGCTATTTCAATGCTAAATTCTATGCTAATTAATTTGTCAAGGGGTACCTCTGCGGATGTGTATACTTTAACTTAGCTATTTCAATTAGCCATTTCAATGCTAAATTATATGCTAATTCCTTTGTCAAGGCGCTTTGTGTTTTTCTTCTCACACAGCTTAAAGGTCGTGATCTAAGCGTGGCTTCTCCCACTCCAGCGCTGTCCTCCAGACAGTCTCGTCCCTTCACCTGATGAAGGCCGCTTGTGTTGTGGCCGAAACGTCGTGATTTATTATTATTTTATTTTCACCTACGTGACTTTACCCAATAGAACCAAAGAGTATGGATCCTAGCAGTCACGAAAGCTTTAAATCTAGTATGGACCATATAGTTTAACACTTAGGCTTTCGCGACCAATATTATTCATAATAACGTTTTTTGGGTTAGATCGTGTTAATTATAAATGTGTCATAACCCTCCACCACCAGACACGGCCAATCAGCAAAAAAATGTCACTTTGACAAAGGACAAATAGTTCACTACTTTAGCCCACTGGAGTGTTTAAGAGTGAATCCACAACATTTACAGTTTGAGTACGACGTTTCGCTGGTAATTACATCCAGCATCATCGGGCAATTCGCCAGAATGGTAAAGCCCTCACTTGCTCCCGGTCTTAAATAGAGCAGCAGGGTGACGTCATCATTTAACTCATTCAGGTGCTGTGATTTGAGGCGAAGGGAGGTATTGTAATTATATAATCGATTGGTAATCAGTCAGTGGTTATGATTAGTAATGAGTTGTAGATTAGTAATTAGTTGTAATGTGTGTTAATGTGATTATATGCTATGTTAGTAATCCGTTAATTAGTATGTGTTTCCCCTATAAGGAATTGTAATATGTATTATTTAATAATACGCTTCCAAGCTGCACTAAGCCTGTAGCTGTCAGAGAGATTAAAGTTATTTCTATTTCTCTCAATTTCAATGGATTATCTAATTAGTCTTTGCCAGTAATAATTAGTTTAACACAACACTTCAATGTTATCAAAATCAATTGAGTGTCCTTGTTGACAAGCATGTTCTGCCACTGCCGACAGTTGTGTTTGAGATAATTGAATATTTCTTTGGTGTTCTTTTAGTCTTATGCTGATGTTACGTCCCGTCTGTCCAATATAGCATCTGCCACATAAACAATTAATCCTATATACACCTTCTGTAGATAATTTAGGTAATTTGTCTTTAGTGCAAGATACTAGTTTTGAATTTTGTGTACTGTACCAAATCTTACTGTAATGTTTTGCTCTTGCAAAACAAGGGCTAATTTGTCAGTTACTCCTGAGATATATGGAATTTTAATTGTTTTAACAATCTGATCGCTTTCAGCAGTGTTGCTTTGCGGTCGTGATTTGGCATTCAGTGCTCTGTTAATTAGAGTATTATTCTAGCCATTGTCGTAATGCTTCTTTGACATGTTTGATCTCTCTCACTAGACTTTCACCATCTGACACTGTTTCAGCCCGATGTATGAGCGTCTTGATAAAAGAGGATTTCTGAGCTGGATGATGATGCGAATCTGTATTCAGATAGGCATCAGTGTGCGTTTGCTTTCTGTAATCGCTGTGTTATTTTACCGTTTAGGCCATGTCCAAGCAAAATATCTAGGAACGGGAGTCGGTTATTCACCTCCATTTCCATGGTGAACTGGATGGCCGGGTTTTGTGCATTGAGATGATTTAGAAAATCATTAAGAGTATCTTTACCATGTGGCCAGACAACCAATAATTTTGGTTTAGATATGTGCATGACACTTTGGTTGTCTGGCCACATGGTAAAGATACACTTAATGATTTTATAAATCATCTCAATGCACAAAACCCGGCCATCCAGTTCACCATGGAAATGGAGGTGAATAACCCACTCCCGTTCCTAGATATTTTGCTTGGACATGGCCTAAACGGTAAAATAACACACAGCGTTTACAGGAAGCAAACGCACACTGATGCCTATCTGAATGCAGATTCGCATCATCATCCAGCTCAGAAATCCTCTCTTATCAAGACGCTCATACATCGGGCTAAAACAGTGTCAGATAGTGAAAGTCTCGTGAGAGAGATCAAACACGTTAAAGAAGCATTACGACAGAATGGCTACAATAATATTCAAATTAAAAGAGCACTGAATGCCAAATCATGATCGCAGAGCAACACTGCTGAAAGCGATCAGATTGTTAAAACAATTAAAATTCCATATATCTCAAGCAAAACATGACAGTAAGATTTGGTACAGTACACAAAATTCAAAAACTAGTATCTTGCACTAAAGACAAATTACCTAAATTATCAACAGAAGGTGTATATCGGATTAATTGTTTATGTGGCAGATGCTATATTGGACAGACGGGACGTGACATCAGCATAAGACTAAAAGAACACAAAAGAAATATTCAATTATCTCAAACACAACTGTCGGCAGTGGCAGAACATGCTTGTCAACAAGGACACTCAATTGATTTTGATAACGTTGAAGTGTGTTAAACTAATTATTACTGGCAAAGACTAATTAGATAATCCAATGAAATTGAGAGAAATATAAATAACTTTAATCGCTCTGACAGCTACAGGCTTAGTGCGGCTTGGAAGCGTATTCTTAAATAATACATATTACAATTCCTTATAGGAGAAACACATACTAATTAACGGATTACTAACGTAGCATATAATCACAATAACACACATTACAACTAATTACTCATCTACAACTCATTACTAATCATAACTATTGACTGATTACCAATCGATTATATAATTACAATACCCCCCTCTGCCTCAAATCACTGCACCTGAATGAGTTAAATGATGACGTCATCCTGCTGCTCTATTTAAGACCGGGAGCAAGTGAGGGCTTTACCATTCTGGCGAATTGCCCGATGATGCTGGATGCAATTACCAGCGAAACGTCGTACTCAAACTGTAAATGTTGTGGATCCACTCGTCAACATACCGGTGGGCTAAAGTAGTGAACTATTTGTCAATTGTCAACGTGACACTTTTTTACTGATTGGCCGTGTCGGGTGGTGGAGGGTTTACGACACATTTGTAAATATCGCGATCTAAACCAAAAAACTTTATTAGGAGTAATATGGACCATATAGTAAACCATAGTTTATACTCATTCATTTGAGGAATAGTAAAACTGCACAAAATCTCTCATGAATCCATCTCATAGCTATCAGTCCTCAACATTCACATTTTGCTACTCAACAAACTGCCATTAGCAAGAATATGTGTGCATTTGGGTCTATCTGCAAGCCTGTGGAGCTCTGTCAGTCGATGGATCTCTATGCAAGTCTGCAGAGCTGTCACAGACTTACACAGAGACCCGCAAAATTACAGGATCTCATTGGGGCTGGCTAAGTGTCTTTGACCTCTGCGCCTCCTCAGTTACAATGGTAAAACATACTTTCAAGATTGTGTTTTTATTCACTCACCTCTATGCTCCACTCTCAAGTGTCTACTGAGATCTGCGCTGGCAGTGAAGTTGACACCACACTCCAAGCACCGATGCTGACCCTCACCACCCTCCTCACCCTCTCCACCCCCACCATCCTCACCACTCTCTCCATCCTCCCCACCCTCACCATCTTCACCACCCTCTCCATCCTCCCCATCTTCACCATCCTCTCCATCCTCCCCACCCTCACCCCGCTCTTCACCAGTCTTCTCAGCAACATCATCTGCAACAGCTGCAGTGGTGGCAGTGATGGTGGTGCTGGCGATGCCACCTGTGTGGAAAATTATGCATTTCATTCAAAGATGGCGGTGATAGTGATGGTGATGGTGATGATGATGGTGTTGGTGATCGTGGTGATAAGAGGTAGAGTAGCGGTTAACACGCTTTGCTACAAAGCCTGTGACCCGAGTCCGATTCCCCCTCGCGGCCAACATTGATGATAAAAACCTGAACCAGTCCCGGGCCTCCCCTTGATCAACTTAGCCTCAAATGTGTACCTGGTGCAGTGTATAAACATCGGCACTTGGGGTCAAAGGCAGCCAGGCATGGTGCTGGCCACCCACCCCCTTGTGTGCCATGCCGACCTTCATAGGTGCTTGCTAACGTGCCTCAACAGCCTGTTAAGGGTATACGGGGGGTTTTGGTGATGAAGGTGGTGATGGTGTTGGTGGTATTGATGGTGGTAGTGAGGGTAGGGAGTAGTGTCATGGTGAGCATGCTACAATACGAACTTGGCAAGCCGAGTTCAATTCCTGCTCATGTTCAACATCAGTGACGATTATCTAAATCGGTCCTGGCCCCCCCCTAGTCGACGAGTGGCGATGGTATAAACATCGCCACTAGGGAGACATAGGCAGCTGTAGTGATCGTGTTTGTGATCCTGGTGATAGTGATGGTGGCGATAGTGATTGTGGCGTTGATGATTGTGGTGGGTGTGATGTTGGTGGTGTTGGTTAAAACCCCCACCTCAGTGGTTGCCACGAAGTAACGCTGTGGTGGCTGTGGTAAATGCTATATTGGACAGACGGCATGTAACATTAGCGTAAGACTAAAAGAACACCAAAGTAACATTAAATTATCTCAAACACAACTGTCAACAGTGGCAGAACATGCTTGCCAACAAGAACACTCAATTTATTTTGATAACGTTGAAGTGTTATGCATAACTAATTATTACTGGCCAAGACTAATTAGAGAATCACTCGAAATTGAGAAAAATACAAATAATGTTGACCTCTCTGACAGCTGCAGACTTAGCGCAGCCTGGAAGCATATTAATCTTGATTTGAAGATTTCGTGACTACAGGAATCCATACTCTTTGATTCTTTCGGTAAAGTCACGTAGGTAGAAAATAATATAGATCACGACGTTTCGATCTCAACACAAGCAATCGTCATCCGGTGAGGCCAACCCTGCTGTTATGAAGCGTATTATGAAGTAATACACAATACATATTGCAATTCCTTATAGAGGAGTCGCATGCTAATTGGCCGATTACTGATCTATGATATAATTGCAATACCCCCCCCACCTCCGCTTCTGATCTCGAAACCTGATGGGGTTCAACAATGATGATGTCATCCTGCACTATTTAAGACTGGAAGCAGGTGGATGGCTTTACTATTCTGGCAAATCGCCCGAAGATGCTGAATGTAATTACCAGCGAAACATCATACTAAAATTCTAAATGTTGTGGATTCACTCTTCAAACACACTGGTGGGCTGAAGAAGTAACTAATTGGCGTTTTGTTAACGTGACACATTTTTTACTGATTGGCCATGTCGGGTGGTGGAGGGTTGCGACACATTTATAATAACTCGCTCTAACCCAAAAACCTTTATTATGAGTGATGATGTTGTTAGTGGTAGTGAGGGTGACGTTGACTGGTGGCTATGTATTGGTAGTAGCAGTGGTATCATGACACTCACCTTTCCTTTGCCGGTTCACCGCCAAAGCCTTTCGTGGTGGCCCGATTGCCTTTTCACCATCACCACCACTTCCTTGCACCACTGCCTTCATTGCGTGTTTCCTAACATTCACCCCACACGTCCCACACGCCGCTGCGGGAGACGTCTGCCGTTGTTGCTGTTTGCGTGCTAGCTCCCTCCTGCCACTTCTCCTCCCGCACTCAATGCATGGTCGCAACTTCAGCTCTGACCAACGGGAGCAGAGAGAGGAGAGAGTGGGGCGGTGGCATCAGTGCTGGTGATTCAGTGCAGCAACAGCATCGTCAGTGGCAGCAGCATCATCAGCAGCAATACACGACTTCAATAATCCGTGGTGATCTGGTGAGACCAAGCATTCTGTAATCTACATCACCCTGTAGAGGCAAGTCCCATAATCTGCAGCAACGTGATTCTCTCTCTCTCTGCTGTGCCATGATTCTTTCTCTACAGCTCCACGATTCTCTCTGCAGCTCAGTAATACTCTCTGGAACTCCATAATTCAAAACTTCACAGAGTTTACATTGCAAAGCAGCCAGCAACTTCTCTATGTGGGGTGCTTTCAATAAAATAAAACTGATAGTTATTAAATTATATTAAAGCTTATTCCTTGGGTCTTTAGGTAAAGTCACAGACAGAACAATAAAATAATAAAAAGTGAATAAAAAATAATAAAAATATCACATTTCGATCGCAACACAAGCAATCGTCATCAGGTGAGAAAAGGGGGAAAGCTGCTGAGGCAGGCTGTTTTAAAGGTCTTAAATGGGTGTAGCCCAAAGGTCATAAACGAAGTGGGCTGGGCTAGTGATTTTAGAGAGAGATTAGCATGCCAATGTAAACGGCGGCTGTGTAAACGAAGTGGGCGGGGCTAGTTATTTTAACGTGAGAGAAATTAGCATGTCAATGTAAGAGATTAGCATGTCAATGTAAACGTCGGCTTTGTTAGTGTGAACCTGTTAATGTAAAATCAGAGAGTCGAAAATTACTGCTAACATCGGAAGGTAAGATGGAAACATCACAGCCAGTTATGGATTGAACTGGTTACAAACGTCCTTCCAATGATTGCTCAGTTTGTACCCATCTTCTCGGTTGAAATTGGATTATTTTATTGTTCTATCTACGTGACTTTACCGAAAGATCCAAATAATATAAATTCCTGCAGTCACGAAAGCTTTAAGTCAAGATATATTAAAGTTGATAGAAAAATTCTAAAATTCTAATGACATTATAATTGTATTAATCTGCAGGCGGTGGTGATGCAGTGTGCCGAGGATTACGGGGGGAATCAGCTGAAATTACTTCGCAAATTTCAGGGTCAATGTTGCCGCGGATCATGGGAGGAGTCATAAACAATGGATAATCCATGGATTTTAGGGATTTGCGTTTCACAGGAGCACAGATTACAGGTGCATGGACTACCGGAGACTGGATTACTGGACCACACATTATAAAAGCACAGGTTACCAAACTTCGGACTCCTGGAGAGAGGATTAACAGAGTTTAGAATACCAGAGTGCAGATTTTCAGACCATGGATTACTGGAGCACAAATTACTACAGCATGGACTAGCTGAGCAAGGACTACTTGAGCATGCAGTTTGTATGCATGCATTTTCAACTTATTTCGCACCGTACATATCGAACCGTACTAATGGAAGGTGTGGGGGAAGGACGATAAACTAAACACACAAGGCAAATACCTTCATGTCTCTGCAGATATCTGGAAGTAGAATATTCACCAGAACAGATTTCCAGGCAACTGGTGTTGGTTTCAATGTACCCGGTCATGATACACATTACGTAATTTTTCTACCAGTTTTGTGTCAGGCTTCTATCCATGAAAACCGAGACATCTAGCTGGGCTACTGCCGGCTACATCAAGAGCGGCATGTTCTGCATGACTGTTCGAGGTGGAAAGCGCTTGTGGTGGTTTTTGGATGAATTTGATCGGAGCCTCCAATGATGAAAAATGCCTCCGATAAAATGTGATGAACTTGTTAGAACTTAGGCAATCAGAGGTTTTTCCCCTGTGCAGAAAGGGGCAATGTCATCCGCAGACACGAACTTGCGGGATTATGTACATAAGAGATCACACACATATATACTAGGGGTTGTTCGGGAGCGCCTGCGACGCCCCTCACAACCATTTACGGCCTTCGGCCAGGAAAGTCACGAAAAAAATTGCACACGAATGACACATTCACGCAAGCACCCGATGCTCCATTTTGAAGTTTTACAATGAAACATCTTTGAATTGTACTGTTTTGAATTAATTTGATTTCTTCATTAAAAGCTTGTAACATTTTACATCTGGAAGACTTCATTGAAAACGACATTGTGTGAATTTTCTCTTGTCGTTAAGTAGATGGCCTTGCTTGGGGTTCGGTTCCATGCAGACTTTCACCTGTTTGGGATTGCGGGATCAAGATAAGGTGACAGAGCTGGCCGTGCGAGAAGACCGCCGTCTGCAGATCGATTCCAACATAATCGAACGTCTGTCCCTGCGCCTCCGTCGTTCATGCAGGGGGCGCGTAGGTTTGCAGCGCCCCCTGCATGAAAACGACGGAAAGTGTAACGTTCATCACAGATAGATAAGGTTGTGCGCTTATATAAGAGTATAACTATGTCATTACCCGCACCTCCGATTAGCACGATTGGTCTCGTATGGTGCGAAAGAAGTTTGACATACATACATAGCTATTACCGAGCCTTGAGGGAGGTCACTGTTCAGAAGTGGCATGAGGGGGCTAGGTTGCAAACAACAGCAACGGCAGACGTCTCCCGCAGCGGTGTGTGGGACGTGTGGGGTGAATGTTAGGAAACATGCAATGAAGGCAGTGGTGCAAGAAAGTGGTGGTGATGGTGAAAAGGCAATCGGGCCACCACGAAAGCCTTTGGCGGTGAACAGGCAAAGGAAAGGTGTCATTATACCACTGCTACTACAAATACATCGCCACCAGTCAACATCACCCTCACTACCACTAACATAATGACTCATAATAAAGGTTTTTGGGTTAGAGTTATTATAAATGTGCCGCAACCCTCCACCACCCGACACGGCCGATGACTCAAAGGCGCGAGGGGACACCACGGACAAGACAACAGCCAGCTGGTGAGGAGCCAACGCCAAATTCCACCCCCCCCCCCCACCGCCACACCAAGCTCTGCATTACGTGTGAAGGTGTTACTGGTTCAGGTATTGAGTGACTGCACATGTGAAGGAGGAGACCAGAGGATCTGGAAGAAAAAAAATCACTGCGTGTGAGGGGTTTGAAGAGTGAGAAATATTACTGTTGTGTTGTTTTGGTGGTTGTGGTGGCTGTGCTGTGTTGGTGTGATGAGGTTGTTATTGTGATATTTATGTTGTAGTGTTTTTGTTGTAGGGTTGAGGTTGATGTATGGTTTTTTTGCTGTGGTGGTGTTGTGTTTGTTGTGTTGTGGTGGTGTTGTGTGTGTGGCTGTAGTTGTTTTTGAGGTTGCATGTATGTTTTGTGGTTGTTGTTGTGTTATGTGGTTGTTGTTTGGTTGTATTGGTGTGGTTGTTGTTGTGTGGTTGTGGTTGTTGTTGTGGTGTTGTTGTTGTTGTTGTCACCGTCTCCACCCGCCTCCGGCTCCACCTCCAGCTCCACCTCCAGCTCCACCTCAACCTCAGCTGAAGCCCCGGCACCACTTGGCTCCAGAGAGACACGCGGACAAAGAGACACCAACTCTAACAGACACACGAGGACACGGGGCGGTCAAGGGAGACACTGTGAGGTCTAGATAGGCACTGTGGAGACATTGCGGAGACATGGGGAGACACTGGGGCGATAAACGGACACACTGGGATATGAAGGGAGATAGTTCACATGGTGGAGCCTAAACGGACTGAGAGTGGTTTTTGGCAGATGCAACTCATGAAATCATGGGGCTTCTGTGCAACTGAACAATGGTGCTTGTCAGGAGAAACAAACCATGGATCATCTCCTGGATGGCCTGTAGCCCCACAATGCACTCCTCAAGATTTGACATTGCCAACACCAGAAGCGGTGGCCTTTGCAGCATATTGGAGAGAGACTATACAGGTTGGATAGGAGACAAGAAGAAGAAAATAATATACCTAGATACAGGGAGACACTGAGAGGAATGAATAAATATGTGGAGACACCAGAAGACATGACTGGGAGACTGAGATACCATGGGAGACATGGGGATACACGGATAAACAACGACAAATACATGGAGAAGCAGGGACATAGAGAAACCAAAGGAAGAAACTTGGATACTAAAACTATACTATTTCTATTTAACCAGGTAATACCTACTGAGCTATGTAGCTCTTTTTCAGAAACGACCTGGCCAAATTATAGCTCAACAAAGTTACTTATCATGTGGAAATGTATAGCAGCCAAATACATGTTTCTAATTGTGGAGGGAAAAACTGGAGGACCCGCAGGCGTCAGGGTTGAGATCGAACCCACGACCTCCTCTATAGCAGGCAATGTAGTTAACATCTCCTAGCTACCGCGGCGCCCAAGGAGACGCGAAGACACATGCTCTATGGCTCTCACCCGTGCCCCCCTCTTCTCTCTTGACAGAACCACCCCACTGCAAGTGGAGCGAATTTTCCTTCCCCCCCTCCCCTTTCTCCTCCTCCTTGACGCAGAAACCCAGAGCCCCACGGGGCATGCGCAGCATGCTGTCTCTATCAGCCTTAACCGAGCACCGTTCGCAGAGACCATCAGCAAACGGGGGAAAGAAAGGTGTAAGTGCCTAGCCTTCATGACTACGACCTTCACAAGTCTTAGTGGGCTAAAACAAGAGGCACATTTTTTTTGTTTCTGTGTACGTGTGTGGGTGTGTGTACGTGTGTGGGGGTGTGTGTGTGTGTGTGTACGTGATCGGCTCCAGTTTAACAGCAGAGGTCTCAGTTCGAATCAGTCGAGCGGCAATATCTTTTCATCAGTTGCGTAACGCTGTGTGGAAGCTACCTGGTCTGTCGCTCCGCACTAAGCTTCAGGTCTTCTCGGCCACGGTCAATCCCTCCCTTCTCTACGCTTGCGAAACGTGGACCCCCCTAATGGAACATCTTCACCGATTAAAAACATTTAGGCTAGCCTGCCTACGATCCATCCTGGGTTTAACCAGGCTGGATTGTGTGAGCTCACAAATCCTTGAAAGATCTGGGCAAGGTCCAATCGGTGAACTCCTCCGGCAGGCAAGGCTGCGTTGGCTGGGTCATGTAGCCCGCATGCCCAGCCACCACATGCCAAAACGGCTTTTATTCGGCCGGATCAAGGGGGCTAAACGGGCGCGGCACGGACTAGAGAAGAGATGGAGTGATGTGGTACAGGAGGACGTGGAGCTGAGTGGACTTGCCGATGACTGGTGCCAGCGGTGTCAAGATCGGCTTCTGTGCAGGAGGCTCGTGAAGGACGCTACTGGGCAGTTGGAGGTAGTCGCCCTCCAACAACAACGGAGGGCGGAGGAGCGACGCTCACAACAACAAGCGGAGCGCCGGGTGGCTAAAGCACAGCAGGTTGGCACAGTAGGGGGCACAGGTGGTGCATCAGCCAGTCATCTCAGTCATCTTAGTCAGTCGACCCGTGGCACTTGGGTTTGCCCCGTGACCTCCTGCCCGCGTGCGTTCGACACTTCACGTGGCCTCAAGGTGCACATGGCCTGGTACAAGCGTCGTGGTGACGTCACCGCCACTTAGTGGCGAGTGGCGGTTGTTGTTGTTGTGTGTACGTGTGCGAGTATCTATGTGTGCGAGTATGTATGTGAGTGTGTAAGTATGCGAGTGTGTGTATGTGTACGAGTATATGTATAGGGGGGAGTGGTGGCATAGCGGTTAGCGCGCTGCGCTACAAACCCGGCGACCCGAATTCGATTATCGCTTACGGCCACCAAGACCAGTGACGATTATCTGAACCGGTTATGGCCCTCCTTTAGATCGACTCAGCCTCAAATGAGGACCTGGTGTGGTGTATAAACATCACCACTGAGGAGACAAAGGCGGCCGGGCGTGGTGTTGACCACCCACCCCCTCGTGTGCTGTGCCGGCCTTCGTAGTTGCAACTCGCTAACAGCACTTTCCCCAACAGTCTGTTAAGGCTATACAGGGGATCTTTGTGTGTACGTGTGCGTGTACATTTTTGTGAGTGTACGTGTGTGTACGTGTGCATGTGTATTTGTGCGAGTGTGTATTTGTGCGAGTGTGTATATGTGTGTAGGCCTGAGCTCTTGGTTGTTCTTCGTGCTTTCGGAGTCCCTGACATGCTGCTCAAAATCCTTAAGGACCTTCATGATGGTGGGCAGACCCAGGTAAAACTACGTGGCCGGGAGTCGGAGCCATTCCCTGTTCACTTTGGGATGCGACAATGATATTCTCTGGCTCCCACATTATTAAAAAAAAAAATTTGACCATGTAGTTTGAGAAGCCTTCCATGGCTGTACCGGAGGAATCTCCATCTGCTACAGATACAATGGGAGGCTTATCGATGCTCGGGTGCGGTCAAGGGATGGCTCCCTATTGGTCAACCATGTTATGTATGCCGATGATCTGGTGATTGCTGCTCAATCAAAGGAGGAATTTGAGGCACTGCTGCTAGACCTGGAGCGTGCTACTAAGAGGTGTGGCCTTACCATCAGGGCCACCAAAATTAAGCACCTGCCTGGGTATTGTGCCATCAAACACTCCACCCCCTCAACTCCCCATTGGTGATGGGGCAGTTGTGGAGTGGAGATTTTTCCATACCTGGGCACTGTGCTTATGACAGCAGAGGTCTCACTCCATATCAATCGAGCGGCATTATCTTTTCATCGGCTGCGTAACGCTGTGTGGAAGCTACCTGGTCGGTCGCTCCACACGAAGCTCTGGGTCTTCTCGGCCACGGTCATGCCCTCTTTTCTTTCTGCTTGCAAAATGTGAACCCCCGTAATGAAACATCTTCCGCCAGTTTTAAACATTCAGGCTGGCCTGCCTGCGATCCATCCTCGGGTTAACCAGGCTGGATTGTGTGAGCTCACAAATCTTTGAAAGCTCTGGATAAAGTCTCATCGGTGAGCTCCCCCGGCAGGCAAGGCTGCATTGGCTGGGTCATGTAGCCTGCATGCCAGCCACCGCATACCTAAACAGCTTTTGTTCAGCCACATAGAAGGGGCTAAACAGACATGGCACAGGCGGGAGAAGAGATGGAATGATGTGGTACGAG